TAAAATGATTTTCATTTGCCTGCTGCGACCAAGTACGCTTCACACATTGTTGGATACTTTTGTTACACTTTTATTTCTACAAAGAAACGTTTTATATCGTTAGAAAATGATAAGAAGACCGGTGGAATTATTTCAGAAATGACTCACCGATATATCTAATACATGCAGCGAAGTATAGTACAATGGTGAACGATGTTGGATTACAGACTTAATGAAATTATTTCTATCTCTTAGTAATCGCTATGATTCATCTTCTTCCGTATACAGGGTGAACCTCGCGACGCGGTCGGCTTAATTTATTCCGTTGCTCTCATTCTGTCGTCCGGTTGAACATTTTTTCAGCTAAAATAACATGGTTCAAGGAGAGCTTTAAAATGATTGTAGCAAATTTATTGTTAACCCTTCTCCTGCAGGAGTTGTCAATATAACCTTCAGCTTCACCACAATTTTGTTGTACCCATCGTTATTTAAATATGAGCCGTTTATTTTGAAAGTGGCATAAGTCACTTTGTTTTTAAGTCGGTCACTTTGTTTTTAAGTCGATATATTTAAGGGTTTGCGTTTTAACACGTTTCAAAATATGGATGCTAACTTTCGAGAAGATTTACTTGTATTTGTGATCTCAGGATACTGATATTTTTCTCGGTATAAATAATTTCGTATAAACATGAAAAAATCACCACTTTTCATTACGGTAAAGTGACTTATGCCACTTTCAAAATAAACGGCTCAATTATGAAACGTTTTATATAATATATATCTTTCGTGACTTAATAAATTAAATAATCATTGCTCGCCCAGTACGACAATATTTGCACAAATACGTTAATAAATACAGCCCCGTGGAAAATGCAATTATATTGCAACTTATGGCATAGAAGTCAGAGTTACGCCAGTGCCCCAACATTTTTTGTGACCGACCGTAGCTCGCCGTTGCTTCGGCGTGCGTCGAGGGTGCTATAGCTCCTCCGAGAGAAGCGCTACCCTAAAAAGGCAGAAGCTGGATCTCGTTCGAGCGATCGGGGGAACCGCGAGTCGTGGAATTCTGTTGTCGTTGACGGAGCAACGGCAAAAATATCGACACGCGTCAAACGCTCGCGTCCGTCGAAATAACAGATGAATCGCGAGGAGACGAACAGACGTCGCGCGAACACGGAAATCGCGACTCTCCGGCGACAGCTATTTCGAGCGAGCGAACGCTATTTTCGTCGGCCCGCGTCACTCCTCCGGCTTTCGTTGAACGACGAATCAGCGAACGTGTTCGCATGGCAAATCATCTTCGACCGATGCCGAGGTCGCCTCGCGGATATCCGCTCAAGGAAATAAACAAATGCGGCAAATTCTTCCTGGAAGGCCCGGAGCTCGGAATTCAAAACGGTGCAGTAAATTCTTATTAAGATGTCATTTATTAAGGCGTTGCTTATTAAGGCGTTATTTATTAAGGCGTTGCTTATTAAGACGTCATTTATTAAGACGTTACTTATTAAGGCGTCATTTATTAAGGCGTTACTTATTAAGGCGTCATTTATTGAGGCGTCATTTATTGAGGCATCATTTATTGAGGCGTCATTTATTGAGGCGTCATTTATTGAGGCGTCATTTATTAAGACGTCATTTATTAAGACATCACTCGTTAAGGTGTCAATTATTAAGTAAAACTTGTGAGAAAAGGAACCATAAGAATTCCGTCTTCGTTCCGACTCCCTTTTGAGTCTCCAGGCGCAGCAACCTCCACGTGAGACTCGGGCAATCGATGTAATTTTCGATTTCTAATCAGTTATAAATTGAAAGAAACCTCGATCGTTCTATAGCGAATTCGAAATCAATGATTACACCGAGCCAACGGCTGTGAATCGATCGATTGAAAATTTGGGAGTTAACTATACACCAGGAAGAGTATATATTCCATTTGTCTAATTGTTATACAGTATCGCGCTTCTAAGAAGTTACATACGAAGTTAAAAATAATTGAACAATAATAGGTTATTGCGTTGCGATATGATTATATGTAAAAATGTTGCAACAAGAGTTATAGGAGCGTGAGATTTGTTGTACTCGTTGCTGTTGTAACAACTAGACTGTGAATTTAACTTTGAAATCCAAATTTTTTAAATGGGCTGTAAGGAACAGTGGTTGAACGAAACTGTATTCCTTCTTTCAATAACTCTTTAATAGTAAGTATTTTAATAATTCCCAACATTCTTAAATTCTTGTAATATTTATTCTTGTGATACTATAAAATATATAAATATATTTTATAATAATATAATATAATACAATATTAATTATTAATATAATATAATAAATATTATTATTAATATAATTTAATAATAATAATAATTATTATATAGATATATTATTATTATTATATTATTATTATATATTATGTTATAATATTTATTATTACATAACTCATACTTCGAAGCGTTTCATTCGCCTGTGAAAGAAATGCGGAAACATCGCGATTTCCGTGGAATATCGTAAAATCAACGTCGAAACATTGAACATTTTGCAAGCGTATTCGGACGTTTACGATAAACTGCACACTCGACGGCAAGAATCACCGAAGCATCGCACCGTGTACGCTGCAGGAATTCCAACGTTTGCTCGATGCGAAATGAAACGGTGGATCGTAACGGGATCGAGGAGATAAATAACTTGCGCGGAACGGATCGTTGCAGCAGTTAGGCGAGTTCGAGTAGAGAGAACGATTTTATTATTCGGATGCTGCGTGCCTACGGAACCGTGACTTTTGCCGAACGACGCTCGAAACCAGACGGACACGAGAACAAATTCTAAAGCTGGCACTGACCTCCTCGATATCGTTTCGACGGCTATCCCTCTCGCGTGTCCAGGGACAGAGATCGATCGATCGATCAACGAGTATCCAAAGGCGGGGCTTCGGAGTTCGGGTCGGCGGCGTTCGCGGCAAAATAAAAGAAAATTAAGGCGGTCGTTTCGATACGTTGGATGCGTTCGCAGTGCACCAGTTTTCACAGCGACGACTGATCTCATCGAAAGACCCGTTGCGTAATTCTATTTCTGGTGGAAAGGAAAACACGTGATCGAGCGCCGACGTTATTTGCTAGGGAAATTCGAGTTGGCGCGCACGATGTCTTTTCCTTGCGTTCCCGCGAGGCGAATCGATGTCGAAGAAGATTCAGATAAACGATTTAGAACACGACGTAACTAATCCTTAAATCCCATCAGTCGCGAGGTGTTAATGGAGGCGTAGAAAGACTCGAGGAAATCGATAACTCGTTCGGTTTACTGCAAACAGAATTCAGTGATTTCTCCCTAATACGCGATCAGATTGCGCACAAAAATGGACGATTTGGGAAGAGGAGATACGATTGTTCGAGCCTTGTAGCCCGTTTTTATAATTGTTGAGACCCTAAAAGCTCGAATATTCGTATCTCTTCTTCCCAAATTGTCCATTTTCGTGGACAATCCGAGCGTCGATTAGAGAGACATTACTGTACAGTCGTTTCTCCCTAATTCGCGGTCGGATTGCGCACAAAAATGGACGGTCTATAAAAACGAACCGCAAGGCTCGAATAATCGCGTCTCCTTTTCTGAAATTGTCCATTTTTTGGCATAATCTGTACGTCAATTAAGCAAACTTAACCGTTTTCGAATATGACCAGACCCGTAATTCGACTGCGGATTCTTCCACAAAATAAGAATTGTCTGCATCGATTCTAAGAAATTGCATCTACTTGGTACATCGACTTTATTCAATTCTTTTAATTTCTCCGCTGTTCTAAATTGCATCGACTCGTTTTTTGTCACGAACGCACAAAATTCCACGGTTTACCTGGAACGCAGGACCACGTAATCTACAAATACAAACGCAAACATTGGCTGTTAAATGTTCAACGATTCATTTCGAATTTCCCACCGGATGCGTCGGTCCGTCCATTTTTCCTCGGAGGAGGCAATTCGCGGTGCGAGGGGATGCAAAGATTCGAACGCGAGAATTCCATCGTGCGATGAAAAATCGCCGAGCATCAAAGGAAATGCGGAAACAACGAACAAACCGTAAACTGTCGATAGCAAGACGCGAAATGCGACGCGAATTTCGCCGGCAATGCAAATGCGCATCGCGACGCGTCGCGTCGGTGGCGGCAGAACGCTGCAAGTCGCGATTTTGCCGCTGGCGGCGCATCGCGTGGCTCCGCGATGCTTTATGCGCGTGCTTGTGCATAGAAATCGTGTATAGAAATCCACGAGCCCGGATAAAGAAGAATATTCCTGCCTGAATAAGGATTTATTCTAACGCCACACGGAGTAAAAGATGATCGTTCGATGATCGACGATCGTTCAGATTATCGTTGCATTCCGCGAAATTGCAGTCCTCGCATCTGTCATGTCCAATCGATCGAATTTGTTCTCTGAAAATTGAACGTCTCCGCAAATATTCGTCAACGTGGAGCATGTTAAAACGGTCGAACGCGTTTGGAATATCGTTCTTTCGAAATCGCGGATCGTATATCGCGCCAGCACAGCTTATATCGTGGTCTACCGTCGCGCAAACGATTCGATCTAGAGAAAAGCCCGAGCCTGAAAAGCTAGAGAAACGAAGCCGTGTCTCTAAGCGCATACGTTCCAAGCCACGATGCACCCCGGCGAGGCTCTGCGTCTACGTCTACGTCTACGTCGACGTCGACGCCGACAAATAGGCAGACCGTCGACGACGGATCGAGTGGTCCAATCGCGGCGGCGTATCATCGTCCACCATGACGATGGCACATGCGCCCTCCGCCCGTCGTCCCGAGGCAACCGCCAGCAGATGACACTGCGACTTCACCCCTGCTCGCTCCTCTCGCTCTCCTCTCTCGCGGCCTCCTCTCGCACCCTCTCCATCCCTCCGCGGTCCTATCGGCTGTGTCTCGTCCTAGTGGCCATCGAAACGGCCGCGAAAATACGTGCGATTACACGCGGATTTTCCAGCGCCACCGTCCTGTTTACTCCGGTAAGTAGAGCCGTCTCCGTCCCCGCGTCCGGTGCCACCGGTCTGAAAGCAATCGCGAAAACAAAAGAATCGCCGCCGATCGGACGCGTCCGCGAGGAGAACGCGTCCGCCGACACACACGGGAGAAACGAGCCCGAGCCGGTTGGCGACATATTGATTCGGGACCCGGTGCGCGATATTCGCCCCCTAGTGTGAACGTACGAAATATTCGATTGAAACGAGCCGCACGGAATAGCCGCGGATCGATCTCGCCCCGGCGCCGAGGGACCGAGGAAATCGCGAGCGAAATTCCGATCGGGGAAGAACTCGGCTGGCCGAGCGGACGCGCGCGGTGCTGTGCGATCGTCGGGCCGGGTTCGGGCCGCGGAGCCGAGCCGAGAGTGCGCCGCCAGTTCATTGCCGCGGCCATTACGCGATCCGGAGGGCGTGCGAGATCGTTGCGACGCAAATCGGATCTCCCTGGGCCGCGTACCTCGAAAGAAAGAGAGAGAGAGAGAGAGAGAGAGAGAGAAAGAAAGAGAGAGAGAGTTCTCCTCCAGGCCCTGCGTTCTCCTGCCACCGAAATCCGCGGCGGAGCGTTCGCGCGATCGATCCCCCAGGTAAGTGGCCGCCGAACCGCCCGGGAACCGGTGCCGGGTCAGTCTTCGCCGGGTCTCTATCGCGCCGTCTATAACCTCCTGCCCGCCGCCGAGATTGCGTTAGCCAGCGGAGAATTGCGCGACGGACGCGAACACACACGTTCGCGAATCGTGCTCGGAAAAAGTAGGTGGACGACGGTGCGTTCGGTGCGCGTAACACGCTCCGGTATCGATTCGAAACCGATCGTCGCGTCGGCCTCCTCGAGCCCGATGCCGGAATCCCGAGCTTGAAATTGCTGGCCCGCGAAATGGCTGCTCCGGCCGCTCCGCGACTATTATTAGAAAAGGCCGGTGTGATGCGAATCGTTGCGCTCTATCTAACGTGAAATGCGCTTTCGCGCTGACAGAGGTGCTCGGCTACGGCGACGACGTGTGTGTCCGGGTGCACGATTTTCGGTACACCGGAATAATATCGATCGCCGCCGGTATTGGGTCGCGAGGGCATACTCCATGGGAGGCTGAACGAGCCGAGGTGCAACTGTCTCCCTCTCTCTCTCTCTCGCTCTCTAGCGTGGTCTCTTTCTCTCTCTCTCTCGCTCTCTAGCGTGGTCTCTTTCTCTCTCTCTCGCTCTCTAGCGTGGTCTCTCTCTCTCTCTCGCTCTCTCTCTCGCTCTCTCTCTCGCTCCCTCTCGCTCTCCGGTTCGCCCGTGCGCCCGCTCTCTTCTGTTCTTTCTTTTTAGGGGATCGAGCGAGTAAACGCGCGCACACCCGCGCCTCGTATTTTCGACGTGGCCCGCGTGTCGTCCGTTCCGACGAATCAATACCTTTCAGGGTTCGCTGGCCAGTCTTCGTTGACACGTAAATATTAATTGTCCAGGCCGATATAGAGACAGAGGCGTCGATATCGCGTGCAACGAACCCGGCCGCGCGCCCGGGCACGGGTTATCGCGTCGCCGAGGACGCGAGTTCGTTCAGCTTAATCCGCGAGAAATCGTCTTGTAATCGGATTCGAGGTAATAATCGCGGCCGGCTACGCTAATCCAATATTTACCCTTCCGGAAAAATGCAGCCGGGGATCGATAAACGGGACCCGTAACTGCTCGAGCGGCCCTCCTCGTTGCCGATAGAGATTGCTCGGGTTACGCGCAGCCGACGAAACCGTGGCTTCCGGGCCGGCATAAATCAACGCCGATCCACCGTTTCACCCTTTGCTCGCCGGAGCTTGCCTCCGCTCGAGGAGACTCGTGAAAGTTACGTGTTCGATGATAATTCTCGTTAACGCTGGAACCATCGAGCACCGAACGATGCTCGATTTATTCGGGACGGCGTCGTTTAAAGAAGGCTCGAAACGCGAGCGCGTCGAGGAAACGAAACGGGGTAGTCGAGAGCCGGTTACCGTGCTGCCTTTGATTTGTTTTCGGAAATAATTAACTGTGCGTTTGTCGAATAAATTTTCGGTTTGTTTATGTTTCGATCAAAAAGATTTAACGCGTCTCATTCGACAGATAATTGTACGGCTGAGTACAATTGACTGTTATCGACGGTTAATCGTTCTCGAATACGACTTGGAATATCGAATGAGACGTATTACATTTTTACGCGTCGCGTTCCGAAGCAACGAAGAGAGACGAGTAAACGACACACAGCGACACGTTTGATTTGCATTATCCGATGGAACAACAACGCTATCGATTCGTTGAATTGTTAACCGTGTTGTCTACGACTGCGTGCTCATACGCGGATATCGATGTTTTGGAACAAATTAAAGAGGCGATTAAAGCGAGCGTCCTTACGACAAGTTTCTTTCGATAAATTGCCGTGCAACTTGAACGGAAGTAACGCGTCAAATTATTTGCGCTCGAAGATCTATGCAATTTGCGAGAAACAGATTCGTTTATCTTGGAAACGTTAAATTGCAATTGCATAATGATACAGTATCGGAGATCGAACGCCATTATTGTAGCAGAGGATAATTAAATTATCTGTTCGGTCGAAGTAATAGTTGACGATAAAGGAATTATACGACGCCGATGAAAAAACCCAAAGCGATCGCTGTCCTTGAAAAATCAAATTTCCGAAAATCTGGGTCAAGATTTTGCAATCCGACCGATAATGGTGCAACCGCGACGTATATTTCAACGCGGAACAATTTTCGGTCCTTTGTTTACAATCGAAGATAGTCGATCGACGAGTCGAAGTTTGTTCTTCACGAAGCATCGATCGTCCGTTGTTTTTTTTATTAGAACGAATATCTGTGGACCGATTGAAACCGATTGAAATTAAAGCGACGAGAGTCGAGATGAGTTGCATTTTCAGCGAGCAAGTAGTTCGAGTCCGCGGGCGGTCAGCCATCGAACGATTGCAATATCTCGACGCGAATATCATCGTTCTGTCGTATCATATTATTAATCATTCGACGCAGCCCGGTCGGACGTAATCGATAACGAATAGCCAAAATTCCGCGATATCGCATTCCACTTAATCATTGCTGCTACATTCACGGAAAATTATGCGAAGATCGCGAAGGACATTGCGCAATTGTTGCGAGCTAATTTCTAATATTATTAAATATTGTATAATTTATAATATTTGGCGCGTTCGACTCGTTCTTTTTTCAATTCTCGAAGCACGACAATCTTAAAACGAGCGAACCTTTTAAAGAAAAGTGTTACAAGAAAAGCCAGTTGCAAGAAAGAGATATAAACGTTGGAAAGATTATTTAGCGAGCAGAAAGTAAAAATATTCGCCATTTTTCCAGCGTCCTAATATTACACCGGGAACGCGAGAGCACCCGCTGAAAATAATTGGCGACCTTTAGGAAGAGCCGCCCCCGCGGAGGCGGGGATTAATCGCGGAGCGAGGTTTCCACCTTTCTGCTTCCTGTTCCAGGTGACTAGATCGCCCCCGACATGGGTAAGGAGAAGATTCATATAAACATCGTGGTGATCGGGCACGTAGACTCGGGCAAGTCGACCACGACCGGTCACCTGATCTACAAATGCGGCGGCATCGACAAGCGTACCATCGAGAAGTTCGAGAAGGAGGCGCAGGAGATGGGCAAGGGCTCGTTCAAATACGCCTGGGTGCTGGACAAGCTGAAGGCGGAGCGCGAACGCGGGATCACGATCGACATCGCGCTCTGGAAGTTCGAGACCGCGAAGTATTACGTGACCATCATCGACGCGCCGGGGCACCGCGACTTCATCAAGAACATGATCACCGGGACGAGCCAGGCGGACTGCGCGGTGCTGATCGTCGCGGCCGGCATCGGCGAGTTCGAGGCCGGGATCTCGAAGAACGGGCAGACCCGGGAGCACGCGCTTCTCGCCTTCACCTTGGGCGTGAAACAGCTGATCGTCGGCGTGAACAAGATGGACATGACCGAGCCGCCCTACTCGGAGAGCCGGTTCGAGGAGATCAAGAAGGAGGTCTCCTCTTACATTAAGAAGATCGGCTACAACACCGCGTCCGTCGCGTTCGTCCCGATCTCCGGCTGGCACGGCGACAACATGCTCGAATCCTCCGCGAAGACGCCCTGGTACAAGGGATGGAAAGTGGAGCGCAAGGACGGCAATGCCGACGGGAAGACGCTGATAGAGGCGCTCGACGCCATATTGCCGCCGTCCAGACCCACCGACAAGGCTCTTCGTCTGCCTCTTCAGGACGTGTACAAGATCGGCGGTATCGGCACCGTCCCCGTCGGTCGCGTCGAGACTGGCATTCTCAAGCCAGGTACGTTGCCGTTGAAACCTGAACTGGGGAATAGCGAAGTCGGGGTTGACCGATCGCTGCGCCTTCGCTTTGTTTACGGGCGTAATTAATTTTATATTTAACGAACAAGAAGTATTATATTTTTTTATTCGAAAAGGATCGAAAGAATAGCATAGAAAAATTCGGGGTAACTTTATATTTATCGAACGGGTCGTATAATAATTAATTTGTAGATATATTTTATTGGGTTGTCCGGAAAGTTCGTGCCGATTTTTTAGGAAAATTAAAACGCAGCTCATTTAAATATTGGAGCCAAGCTTCACAGTATGATCGTGGATGGTTGATTTTGATTTATTTAGCATTCCTGCTAATTGACGTAATGTTGAGCGTGGGTTATTCGGCTACAGCATCCTCGCCATAAACGGCGCATATCTTATTTTGCCCTTTCGGAAAAAGAAAAGCATTAAATGCCTATAATGCTCTTTATTTGCCACCATATTCTAAGGCGTACAAAACTGATCAAAATTAACGAATCGTAACCAAGCTTTTTTCCAAATATGGCTGAAGTTATCTCTTTCAGAATATGTACACGTGTCATTTGTTTTCAATAATTGTGATATATTCGGTCAGGTCTCTCACGCTACCTACCGAAAATCGGCACGAACTTTCCGGACAACCCAATAGTTCGAATATTTGCTAAGAAGTTCTATCATTTTCTTGAACAAAATATNCGCCTTCACCTTGGGCGTGAAACAGCTGATCGTCGGCGTGAACAAGATGGACATGACCGAGCCGCCCTACTCGGAGAGCCGGTTCGAGGAGATCAAGAAGGAGGTCTCCTCTTACATTAAGAAGATCGGCTACAACACCGCGTCCGTCGCGTTCGTCCCGATCTCCGGCTGGCACGGCGACAACATGCTCGAATCCTCCGCGAAGACGCCCTGGTACAAGGGATGGAAAGTGGAGCGCAAGGACGGCAATGCCGACGGGAAGACGCTGATAGAGGCGCTCGACGCCATATTGCCGCCGTCCAGACCCACCGACAAGGCTCTTCGTCTGCCTCTTCAGGACGTGTACAAGATCGGCGGTATCGGCACCGTCCCCGTCGGTCGCGTCGAGACTGGCATTCTCAAGCCAGGTACGTTGCCGTTGAAACCTGAACTGGGGAATAGCGAAGTCGGGGTTGACCGATCGCTGCGCCTTCGCTTTGTTTACGGGCGTAATTAATTTTATATTTAACGAACAAGAAGTATTATATTTTTTTATTCGAAAAGGATCGAAAGAATAGCATAGAAAAATTCGGGGTAACTTTATATTTATCGAACGGGTCGTATAATAATTAATTTGTAGATATATTTTATTGGGTTGTCCGGAAAGTTCGTGCCGATTTTTTAGGAAAATTAAAACGCAGCTCATTTAAATATTGGAGCCAAGCTTCACAGTATGATCGTGGATGGTTGATTTTGATTTATTTAGCATTCCTGCTAATTGACGTAATGTTGAGCGTGGGTTATTCGGCTACAGCATCCTCGCCATAAACGGCGCATATCTTATTTTGCCCTTTCGGAAAAAGAAAAGCATTAAATGCCTATAATGCTCTTTATTTGCCACCATATTCTAAGGCGTACAAAACTGATCAAAATTAACGAATCGTAACCAAGCTTTTTTCCAAATATGGCTGAAGTTATCTCTTTCAGAATATGTACACGTGTCATTTGTTTTCAATAATTGTGATATATTCGGTCAGGTCTCTCACGCTACCTACCGAAAATCGGCACGAACTTTCCGGACAACCCAATAGTTCGAATATTTGCTAAGAAGTTCTATCATTTTCTTGAACAAAATATTGGAACGTGAATTAATATTATCGTTCTTTACAATTTCTCTCCGGTTTTCCAATACTTGAAGAGAGAGAGAGAGAAGCTCGTGTTAGAATACTTGGTCGTCGGGGTGCTTCTCCAGTCTATTATTGTGCGTTGTCGCGAACTTTTTTGGTTGCTCTTTCGCATACTCCATTTCTAGACCGCTATGGCGAGGGTCGTTTCTAACTCTAACATGCCATGTGACAGCTGCTGCTGTTGCTGCTCTTACGGCTTTATTTTGAAATCTTTGAATAATATTCAAATTGCTTTCCTTGGCAGCACTCCAGACACGGAAAGAACTTAAAGAAACAATGTTCGAAATACTGTTTAAAATAGTTGGCAACAGTCGCTTCAGGTAAAACAGTATTATCAACAAGAACTAACAACAATAATGTCTCCCTTACCGACGCTCAGATTGTCCACTAAAATGGACAATTCGGGAAGAGGAGATACGATTATTCGAGCCTTGCGGCTCGTTTTTATAATCGTGGACAATTTATAACTATAAGAATAAACCGCGAGGCTCGAATAATCGTAGTCTCCTCTTCCCAAATTGTCCATTTTTGTGGTCGATCTGGGCGTCAATTAGAGAGACATTACTGTACATTTATATTTTGACAGATTCGTTCTTAATGAGTACGGTAATTACGATGCGATTAAATTGCGAAATCGAGTCGTAATGTAATCGATTAAATATTATTTTTCAACCGAAATATACAAATTTGAAGGTTTTTCGCACGATTCTGCGATCATCTATCGGGTGTCTCAACGCGTTAACGTTTCGCCGCGCAGGCATGCTGGTGACCTTCGCCCCGACCGCCCTCACCACCGAGGTGAAGTCCGTGGAGATGCACCACGAGGCGCTGACGGAGGCGTTACCCGGCGACAACGTCGGTTTCAACGTGAAGAACATCTCGGTGAAGGAGCTGAGACGCGGCTACGTGGCCGGGGACTCGAAGAACCAGCCTCCGCGAGGGGCGTCCGACTTCACCGCGCAGGTGATCGTCTTGAACCATCCGGGACAGATCAACAACGGGTACACGCCTGTCCTCGACTGCCACACCGCTCATATCGCTTGCAAATTCGCGGAGATCAAGGAGAAGTGCGACCGCCGTACCGGCAAAACCACCGAGGAGAATCCGAAGAGCATCAAAACCGGCGACGCTGCGATCGTGATGTTACAGCCGACCAAACCGATGTGCGTGGAAGCGTTCCAGGAGTTCCCGCCGTTGGGTCGCTTCGCTGTTCGCGACATGCGCCAAACAGTCGCCGTAGGCGTCATCAAAGTACGTATTCCAAACGGCATCGGCGACCATTTCATTGTCCTTCGCGGACGAGGGCTCTTTTCGGCCCTTTTTACTCGACCGGTGGCTCGGAGTAAACGCTATAAAAATTGTTCAATTATGTTCCAAAATGGTGCTTTTATTTTCAAATTTGCTTATATTATCTCGAGAGCGTAATCGTTGCACGAATCGCGAAACTCAATTTCATACGCATGCGATACATCGACCCCTTGACACGCCATTTTCTTTGCAGTCGCTGCGATTAGAAATTTGTCGATTGCAATAATTTCTTGGAGGGGAAAGAAAATCCGCTCGGAAGCGAGATATCAACGGCTATGGAATCGATTAAGAGAAACAAATTTACGACAATACAGTAATGTCTCCCTTACCGACGGTCGGATGTCTCCCTTACAGACGCACAAAAATGGACAATTTGGGAAGAGGAGATACGATTATTCGAGCCTTGCGACTCGTTTTTATAGTCGTTGACAACCGATAACCATAAAAAACGAGTCACAAGGCTCGAACAATCGCATCTTCTCTTCCAAAATTGTCCATTTTCGTGGACAATCCGAGCGTCGATTAGGGAGACATTACTGTATTTCTAAATGACGACGAGAACGCGATCGACGATCCGTTAACGAGGGAAACGAATTTGTTCGCAGAGCGTCACCTTCAAAGATACCCAGGGCAAGGTCACAAAGGCCGCGGAGAAAGCCCAGAAGAAAAAGTAACCATCAAGCTTCCTCGGAAGCTCGCAGTCCGTTGGCTGGCTCCCGACGAGCGTCTCCGCGAGGGGATTCTCCTCTCGGATGCAGTACACCGCGGCTGCTCCATTCAACTCATACTCAACTAATTATACCAAAAGTGAAAAAATGTTGTGCTTACCCCCGTTACATTATCCGGTAGTGTTGAATCCGCGCATCTATCCGAATCTGCACATTCAGTTCACCCATGCCCCGCGCACACCCCACATATGCTAGGTGGAGTTCTTACGTTTTTACTCACTCTTACATTGACGAAGAATATGTGTCCAATTACAGGTAATACTCAGTTCCCTTGGACTCTGTGTAGTTAGGTTTTTCAATTAAATACATACACACGTACACACACACGTTACAATACCACACCGAAAGACGACGGACGGGATGAACGATAGTCGTGGCGACGTAACGAGATATCGAGGCAGCGGTGTCTCCCGGGCGCATCCTCGATTCCGCTCGCGATCGGACTCGTTCCATCGTAAAGAAACGTCGAGGCGGCGTCGAGCCCGGATGCGAATCCGGGACCGTCGACGGAAACCTCGCAACGATCGATCTCTTCTTCTACCGACGCGACACACGCCGTTCAACACCGAGCAATATATTCGCATCGACAGCCACGATCACACCGACGACACCTACACGCACCGCTGCCTCGCATCCCCCGACTTTTTAAATCGATTTATTTCGAGGAATTCGTTAAGGCTGATTTCTTTGAAGACTTGGTTGTTGCCTCGCTGCAATTAATTTTATTACTTCTGTAAGATTGTATTTATCTCTAGTTAGGGATCATTAGACTACTGTACCCCTCTCCTCTCCCCGATCGCGACCCCCGAGCGATGCTCCCCCACGGCGAAAAGAGCGCGAGAACGGGCTCCTCTCGCTCGCAAGCGGGTTTCGTCTTCTGGGTCGCTTGTGTTAATCTCTCCATACCCCTAATAGACGCGTTCTACAATTGTTTGACCCTTAGCCAGTATTATGTTGATGTAATAAAAAAAATTTTAATTGCAACTCGTCGTTCGAATGTTTTCTTTCATCCTTGGATGGGTCTTGCGCCCATCTTGATCGAACCACTTTATATTATATAAAAAGTGTGCATTTCGAACTACAGTAATGTCTCTCTAATCGACGCATAGATTGTTCACAAAAATGGATAATTTGGAAAGAGGAGATACGATTGCTCGAGCCTTGCGGTTCATTTGTATAGTTACGAATTGTCGACAACTATAAAAAACGAGCTGCGAGGCTCGAACAATCGTGTCTCCTCTTCTCAAATTGTCCATTTTTGTGGACAATCGGAGCGTCAGTTAGGGAGACATTACCACTTTATATAGAAACTATGCATTTCTGCTATACTAAAATTCCTTGATACAAATACTATTTAGTCTGCGAATTATCGGAGAACTAGGGTGCATAATACGCGGTGCATTTTATAAAATTTTAGTATTCAATGGAGTAACAATGTTTCCATTATTTAACCGTACTATGTAATAACTTAATTCGCGTCGCTGCGAACAAATAATTGAATCGTCTCGAACTCGGTGTCTTCGTTGATCTTACAATTCGCGCATACAATATGTAATATTTCTGCCATTGCTATTTTTTTTATCCGCGAACGTCTCTCGTATAAATAACTTAGAAAATGTTATCCGAGTTCTACTAAATTTTGGCAGCAAAAACTGAAAGCCTATTCGACGATAAATAGGAACTTCTAGAACGAGAAAGATCGTAGACGCTTATGGTAAATATAATTTATTCCGCATAAATTCTTCATTAACGTTACAACTAGACATGGTATGTACAAATATATATATTTAATGCAATGATCTTACAAGAATTTAGTGTAATGCAGGTCTTGGTCAGTCTTTGATTGCCGAGGCCCGTATTGCCGGGGCGTCGAGCAGTTTCGATCCACGTTTTCGCGATCGAACACGTGACACACAATTATTCGCGGAAACTAAACACTTTCTTCTTCTTTTTCTTCTTCGTACATACGGGACTAATCACATGAATTGGAATCGATTGAAACAGAACAGCGTGTAGGCACTTCTCTCGGTCGCCCTCGCGTCTCGAAAAGAAAGAAATTTCCGTCGATCGACCGAACGCGTCGCGAAAGCGCGATCCGTTCGCGTTCTTGTCGATAAACGCGTCGCACGATCGTTCGCGATGTCGGAGAAAGAAAGAAAGAGGGAGAAAGAGGCAGAGAAAGAAAAAGAGAACGAACTTTTATAATACTAATTGGCGAACGTCGACGACGCTTTAGAATTCCGTGCCGAAGTTGCGGCACCGCGACGCGTTTGTCGGATCGAAGAAACAATAAAAAAAAAAGTGAGAGAACGGATCCGGAAGGAAAAAAAACAGAACTAGAATCAAAGTACGTAGAAACAAACGGAACGGAGATGGAGGAGGATGGAAACGAAAAGAGACGAGGGTGAAACGACTCGCGGAAATTGAAAAAAAGAAAAACAAAGGAAGAAACGGAAGAACGAGGAGGAAACGGGACTCGTCGGTACAACGATTGACCTACGCAAAGAAAGAAAAGGCACACCGAAGCTAAAAGTAACCGGGAGGGGCTCCGCGCCCTAATACTCTATCTCTACCTCGAATCTCTATCGCTCCGTCTCTCGAACCATGTAAATGCTAAGACAACCCACAGCCTCGGTAAATATACAAAAATATCCTCGACACCTCCATCCTTCGCGAAACGGGTACGGTAATAAGCAGTGTTCGTCGAATTCTTACGAACTAAAGAACCAGAAAGAAACTTAAACCACGACCTCGTAGCGGCGGTTCCTCTCCGCCGTGGAACGCCATCGATCACCCGAAATACCCGGATCGCCTAGTATTCGGTTGATCGCCGATCGTCGTCTCCGAGAGAACGATCGAAACCTGGACTCTCGACCCTCTCGCCGACGAGTCGCTCAGCTCCGTCGAGAGTGTCCAATGTGCACGGAGCACGGTGGACGCGTCGGCGAGTCGACGGGCCGTCGAGTCGCGCGAGAGAATAGAAAAAGAAGTCGGAAAGCGTCTCGCTGTCTTATGTCTGCTGATGCGTGGGGCTATGGTGATTCGACCACGCCGGCGGAGTCGACTGATTGAAGTTCACCGAGATTGTCACCGGATGCAGGACCGTGTCCGGGCCAGTGTCCGGGATGAAGTTCAGATGAGGCCTGAGCAAGGACGCTTCGACCGTCAGCGGGACGTAGAAGGCTCCGCCGTCGTGCAGAGCGAAGATCGGCACCCCGTGCGACGACGACGGCTTCTCCGCGGCGGTCGTCGGCGGCGGGCTCGACTTTATCCTTTCCGCGGAGAACCTTTGCTTGATGGAGCTCTTGAACTTGTAATTGGAGGGCTTGCAGCTGGTGGTCGGCGGCGTGCTGTGCGAATGGGTGCTGTGATTGCTGTCGTCGCTGACGATCACCGGCGGCGGTATGATCGTCGACTGCAACGGACGCTCCGGGTCCCCGAACGAGCTCACGCCGGAACTCGAGCCTTGGTCCGAGTGAGCGTTCGGCTGACATATCGTGGGAATGCTGGTGTGAGCGTAGCCGCCGTTCACGGTGCCGTTCGAGGTTGGCATCTCCGGATGAGGGAAGCCTAGCCTGTCGCCTGAAAGCAGATTTTCGGGTTCAGCCACTTCGAGCGATCCACTCTCGACGGTTCGCGGGTTCCTCGGATCGTTCGAAGCAACTTTTTCTTTTACAAAAATTCTCTCCGAGGCACCGTTAACGAGTTGTCAACGAAAAACGCTGACCAATAAGAATCGAGTGCGGCTGGCGAGAGGCGGCCCAGCCAACCGGCGCACGAAGCCCGGTTCCGCTCATTGGCTCGGTCGTCTCGCGCCAGCCGAACTCGCTTCTCATTGGTCACCGTTTTCCGTCGATAACTCGTTAACGATGCCTCGGAGAACATTTTTGTAAAGGAAGAAGTTGCTTCGAACGATCCGAGGAACCCGCCATTTTCGGATTGCGAGACATTTTTGTTTTCGCTACCGAGTTCTCATTATTTTTTTACACGAGAATCGTTCTCGTAGCTTCGATAATTGCGCGCAATCGATTCGAGTCTGTGCTATCCCACGGATTTTTCTGTCGGCGATCGAGAAGAGTACGGTGGCATCGAGAAGGGTATCGAATCGATATCGCGTCAAGCAAATTGAATTCTATTGGTGAAAACGTCGACCTAATCTCGGCAAGACGCTCGATTACTCGGCTCGTAAGGGGAGAGCGTTATCTATGACACTTGGTGGCCGAGTATGCGAGGCCTATACATATTCGTTCAATCAGATTATTGTAATATTCCGTTTGCTAAATATTTTGCCCTTCAGACCTCTCTCGGTTCGAGAGAGTGTGTGCGCGCGCGAGTCGAGCGTACAATGGCGTCGGCACTCACTGGTGGCCAAGATCCTCTCGCAGTGTTGTTGCAGATGATTGATCAGCTGCACACAGAGAGAGTCCCTAGCGAAGAAACCTTCCACCTCCACGAGGAAGTGCATCGTTTCGCTGAGGCACTCTTGGAAACCCAGCCTATAGTGTTCGGCCGCGGTGGACGTCACCGTCGAGTGGGAGACGCTGTCCACGCTGTCCTCGGGGTGCGTGGGCGCTGACGTCACCGCGGGGTGCTTCGTGTCTGCGAAAAGGGACAATGATAAATTAGGAACGGAGCGGCGAAACGGATCGGACGATCGATTCCGTCTCGTCCAATTTTGGCAGCGCGATTCCTATCCAGGGGGATGAAGCGATTAGAGCGAGAAGGAAGCGAAAAGGTCACCGGAATAATTTAGACGCGGGGGCGGAGGATCGAACACCGCCTAGGACGCGTACGGACGCCGCGACGATGCCTACCTTGTCGAAGACTTTGAAGATGCTTCATATGACGGATCGCCATCTCGATGATCTCCGTTTTTTCTACGCGACCTCTGCCCTTCTTCAGATACTCGGCCGGTATGAGCCTGCTCAGATCCGCCAAGCAGTTGTTCATGCGATCCCTTCTCCGTTTCTCGATGATCCTATGAGACATCGGATCTTGCTGCAACAGAGATCGAGAGAACGCGTTAAAAGATGATCGCGTTTGCCCGAATGTTTGTCGAAACATTTGCAAATTCTAAAAGCTTGAGAAGAAATCGGTGCGATCGGACGTTTCGCTTCGTTCGACGCGCGATTTCAGAGAACGAACCGTTGCTCGACGCGTGAAATATGGGGAGGAGAGCCAACATTTTTACGATTGCCAGAATATAACGCGATGTTTATCTCAAACCCGAGCTGCGCGCACGCTCTCGAGCGTGTTATCGTCGCGCCGTTATCGAAAGTGATACAAACTTTGGGGAGAATCCCTCGGCGGAGCGAATATTCGAGCAACGAGGATTACTCGCGTCGAAACGTACGATCGAGGATTTCGCGTTGCCGAAAAATCGCGGCAAATTGTCGAACGCGAGAAATCCCATCGTGATCGGATCTTCGCGCGAACACAGACTTCGATGGTACATCGTCCCGCAAAAGTTGGTAATCGTCCGAAAAAGCTAGCTTTCTCCGCGACGTCCGAAAACGAAACGGAGCGCCGCGAGTGCGCGAAGTCCTTGGCACACCGTCGAAAAACCGTGGACGCGGATCACGAGGCGAGAAGCCGAACGCGATCCCGAATGCCAAAAAGCGTGCGGGAACGTAATCCGTGGCGCGCGGGGGGCAACTTTCTCCAAATTTTCTCGAAACTTTCGGCACCGCGTGCGAGGAGGAGGCGGCACGAGCAAGAATATTCACCTCTTTGTTCAAGCATCGCCTTTTCCGCAGCGGCGACGAGTGCATCGCCGCCTCGACGTGACCGTTCGTCGGATAATATTGCATGTTCAGAATATTGTCCATGCTGTGCGTCACCATTATGTCGAGAATGATTCGTCGAAAAAAACGAAACGAAACGAAACGCGGCAACACACTGCGATCGTTCGCCGGTGAACTGTGGCACAGAACTTTCAAAATCACTCGTCAACCCTCGTTCCCTTCGCGGGAGCCTCGCTGTTGCTGCTTCCGGCGGTCGCCGGCCGTTCAAACTCGACGCGAAACGATGCGAAGAATGTCACCACCGTCGACGGGGATCGGGCGTTTTATCGAAACAACGGACCGACGTTCGTAATCGAGCGACGTGCGATCGATCGAGGAGCGGTGTCTCGGCGCGACGGACTGCTCGCCGCGGGACGATCCGGTTCCCAGTTTCTACGGAAACGTTGGAGAGACGATGCGTGCTGCGGCACGGCGCGATGCACAATGATGCGAATGACGCGGGGAATTAACACCGGTCCCGGTTCGACTGTGCGTGCTCTGATACGGCACGACCACGACTGCGATCCACGGGCGGCGGCGCTTACGTTCCTTTAACGAGGAGGGAGATGTCGCTCGACGATGACGCCGCGGTGCTATCACGTGTTGTAAACGCGATGCATAACGCCCAACACGTGAGGAAACACGTTCCGCCAAGGAAGCTTGCTGGGGAATTATCTTTCGTAGCACTTTTCCCGCTCGCTGAATGAAACTGCTCGCTTTGATCGAGGCTTCTCTCATTCTCGCGAGCCATCCAGCCGCGGCTCGGCTCCCTTGCAACGCGGACCGCCGAGCGGTTTTCCGCGCTTTCGAAGTCGTCGCGTTCGAGTTTTCTCGCCGATACTTTCGTAGGAAGCTTCTCCGGACGTTGACGCTTTTTGGTCGTCGCGCTCTCGGAATTCTACGCTCGAATTTTTCGAAAAGCAGACGATCCAAAGTCACAATAATTGGCCATCCCACGGTAACCGGCTCTTCTACGCTACGAGAAGACGACGAGGAAAACGATCTCGGAAGAATCTGCAGAGCGGCTTCGCACTTTTTCAATTCCGAGCCGCAGAATCACAGATGTTTGCATAAGCGTCGAGCAATAATCGGCCGAGAAAAAAAAATATATATATAGCGTTCTTCGACAGAATTGAAAGTTGAAACCAGTCGTCGATCGACTCCGTTCCCTCGCAAAAAAAGAAGGCAACCGTTTCGTTTGAACTCTGATTTTCATTCGCCACGTTCCCGACGTTAACGATTCTACGTACGTATAAAAAATATTCAGCCTGCTATCGGGATCACGTATTTTTCTATGCAAAGAGCTCGCCGCGCTGCCTTGAACCAGATACTCGCGCGTACGAGAGCGATCGTTAGACACGTGACGCGCGCCAAAGTTTCGTGAAAAGTTTCTTCTCGCAGATCGCGAAGAATCTGTCCGGCTAAGGAATATTTATAAGATCGTTCAACTCCGTTTTATAGTAAATATGTTCAGCGATATACACCGACGTGTTGTAAACATCGAGATGGAAACGATCTTGGTCGTCGAGTACAGATTAATTCGAACCGTCGTGTCAGCGTTTTCTATGGAAAATAGCGGTCAACGAGTTCGCAAATGTACCAATTAGGCTTATCAGAAGCGACAAATGGATGCGTAAATACGATCCTCTCGTAAATCCGATTGTTGTAGATCCAATTCGATCCTTTTATGAAAAAAAATCGGCGCTGTTGCAGTAAACTAATCAATCTAGCGATTGACGTAACTTGAAATAAAGCAATTTCTCAGTTCATGGGTTAAATTCGACGATCGTTGCTCGTAATGCACTTGTTTTGCCTAAGTTATGGACGATGGCTCTAATTGGTCGTTTAAGCTTCTGATTAATATGTACAGTAAATTCTCTCTAATCGACGCTCAGTTTCTACACGAAAATGGACAATATGGGAACAAGAGATACGATTATTAGAGCCTCGCGACTCATTTTTATAGCTCAATATAATTGTTTTTACAATTAAAAGCGAGGTGCTAGGCGTAAATAATCGCATCTCCTCTTCCCAAATTATGCATTTTTCGCGTACAATCTGAGCGTCAATTAGGAAGAATTTACTGTATATTACATCGCTCGAATAAATGAATTCTCGCACAAAATCTATTGCCTTTATATTATAGCTTAATATATTATATTATATTATATTATAGCTTATATATATATAATTATATTATTATATATAATGATATTATATTATAGCGTTCCAAACGCAAGAATCTTTTCAAATAAATCTGTAGCCAACCGATTAATCGCTTGTTTCCTTAAGAAAACAGCCTGAATACTTAAAAAATTGCATTTTGGCGAGCCGTTTGGGGAAAAAAGGTAGTCGCTGCCTTCGACCAAACAAGTGAAAGGATGCTACGCGTTCGGCTATCGGGCTGGCAGCGAACATAGTAGCTGGACTGACGGCCGCGGAATAACGTGCTGACATCAAAACAGCTCGCTGACCCCCGACATCGAAGCTTCTGCTTGCTCGACACCGATACGAGCAACCGACCAACAATCCGGGAAAGGAGCTGAATCTCGGCATAAATTGCGGGAAACTGCTCTAATGGGGTCGAGTTATCGACGCGACGGTCCGGATAGAACCGGACCGAACAGATCTTCGCGGCATATCGCATGCGTTCTGTCCGGAATTTATCGGCAAACGGTTGACCACGATGGCCCCTCCAATGTTTTCCAAACGATAACCGGGAATCACCGGATCCAGCAGCTTAACTGCGGCTTCACCTCGCGAGCGCTTCCCCTTGCTACTGCGGAACCCCGAGCAACGAGAATTCAAATTTCTCGACAGAATCGTTGGGTGAGCGATTAAAAGACAGTGTTTTTTTTATTTGGAGGGTACATCCCGTACAGCCCTTCAGGGATGGGGGCTCGAACCTGTCTCGTGGAGATTCGAGTATATTTGCGGTATACTTGATCCCATCCCTAGTGAAATATTATCGTAATATATAATATAATATAATATAATATAATATAATATAATATAATATAATATAATATATATAATAGTATAATAAAAATATAATTGTATCTCCTCTTCCCAAATCGTCGATTTTTTTAGCGACAATTAGGGAGAATTTACTATATACAGTAATGTCTCTCTAATTGACGCTCAGATTGTCCACAAAAATGGACAATTTGGGAAGAGGAGCCTTGGAATTCGAGCCTTGCGGCTCGTTTTTATGGTTACCGATTTTCAACAATTATAAAAACGAGGCGCAAGACTCAAATTAATCGTATCTCCTCTTGCCAAATTGTCCATTTTTGTGCACAATCTGAGCGCCAATTAGGGAGACATTACTGTACTTGATCCCATCCCTGGTGAAATATTATCGTAATATATAATATAATATAATACAATATAATACAATAATATGATAAAAATATAATCGTATCTCTTTTTCCCAAATCGTCGATTTTCGTTTCCAAGCTGAGCGACAATTGGGGAAAATTTACTGTATATAGACCCTGCTCCGTTATTTCGACGTAACGCGAATTTCAGCAGCAACGTGACACAAAGTTGCGATAAACAGATCCAAGGAATTAAAACGAAAGCGACGCGAGTTGTTGATTTTTCGAAGACGCATTGTGAAACGTGTTTTCCATTCGACTCTCGTACCCGGAAACGCGTCTCGCGCCGCGAAGAGTTCACTGTGTAGGTTGTAAGAGAACGCAGAAGGCCTCCGAGTGAATCGTGAACTGCGCAACGAGGCGATAATACGAGCCTTCTAAATTAAAATCTAATCAATGGACGGCGGGAAGGAGCGCGCACGCCGCGCCGCGTCCGAACAACACACGCGTCGGAGTCTGGTTTTCCGACGCGACGGCTTATCGCTTCCACGGTCTGGCTAACCTAATCGTTCGATTCGCGCGACGATAAAGCGAGGAGAGTATCGCGATCGCGTAGCCCGATACGGTCCTCGACGAGCGTAAATTCGATTTCCTGTTTTGCGATCGTCGGTCGTCGTCTCGCCCGAGCACATCGTTTTTCGCGAAAGTCGTCTAATTCTAGAATGTCGTCTATCCGGTGTCCCTGGCTGGCGAACGATCACGTTGAACGTGGAAGATACGTTTACGAGGACAAACATGTGACTACGTTGATTACGAATGGTATTCCCTGAATAAACACGTGCTGTTTTCAGCAACCTTGACGCAATCAGCAATATTATTTCTGTCACGTGTGAAT